AATTTATTTATTTTATTTTTTTATTGTTATTACAGTCACAGTCACTTTTTATTATTTCTCCATTAAAGATGACGTGCTATGTTTATTTGCTTTGCCTCGATGTAAACAGCCTGACCGATATAGGATTTTTAGGAGAGAAAAATGCACTGATTACATGGCGTCAAGTGATATTTTGACCTAAAAAATATGTTTTTCATGAAGACATGAAGATGCAGAGATCCTCAGAAGCTGCTTTATTAAACAAAGACAACTTAATGAAAGAATATGAAACATTATTTTACTTCATGAATCGATTCTTATGTGAACCACAGAACAATGCTGGATAGAGATGTTCTGATACCAGTATCAGTATCAGAAGTGATCTAAACTGATGAACAGTGTTTCAGCAGCTGCCGGAATAATACACTGTTACAATATGATTTATTACCCCCACCCCACCCCCACCCATTTAAAAAACAACTTCTAGCAGAGAGTTTAATGTTAATGAAAACAGCTTTTTCTGTGATGTCAGAAAAAAAAAGCACAGTTACCAATATTCTGCAATGGGGTGAAATCGGCCTGGTGATATCGGCTCACAGATTTATCGGTCAGGCTCTTTCGATTTTTTGTTCTTAATTAAAATATATCACTGCATCATTTCAGTGTCTCCATGACTCAATGAGTTCCCCCCTCTGCTTTAGTTCTTAGATCGATATAGGCCCCCTTCCCCTCACTAACTGTCCTCTGTAGAAAGCTAACTGTGTGCCCACCATGTCCTCCTGTGGGCTCCTCCTGATCTCAGCATGTCCGCCCTCATGTGCTTTCTTTCACGCAGCCAAGCTCTTCCAGCCGTAGCAACCGGTGTCCCCCAAGACAAAATTAATGCCTAGATCAGGAGCAGGTAAATATAAAGACGACCATCTTGGCCAGCAGGTCCTGGATATAAGACCTTACTCACCTGTCCCCACTAAACCCTCCCCCTCCCCCCCAGTACTCACCTGTTTGACTGAGCACAGATTAGAAGTGGATGACAGTGGGTGTTGGTTTTGAGTGTCCCAGGAAGCATGATGGTATAAAGCCATTCAGATGAAGTTTCACTGATGGAGTCATGCTTTGTGGGGTTTTTTCTTCTGGGTTTTTGGGTCCTTTTTCCCCTTCACTGATTTAATGGTGTAACTGTAGTGAGCCTCATGGGGTCATACTGGGTGCTTTTTGTTTTTACTACTTCAGCATTTCCTCTCATTACTTTTGTATTTTATCGCATTGCTTTGTTTCTTTTTGCATCACCTCTGATCCATTGTAGCAGTAGTTACTGTGTCTCTGTCTAGTTATAACACACTGCTACATGTGATTTAAAAGTGCTATGCATCGTTACCAATACACCCCAAAAAGTTTGGAAGAAGCAGAAGCAAAATATTGTTACGGAAATCAAAAGCTAATGCAAGAAAATGCAACAGTTAATTGAGAACTAATTTCAGAAAATGTCCAGTATGATCCTTTCACATCTCTTTTACTTCCTTAGTCTTTCCAGTTTCTTGACAGAATTTTGTGACATCAAAATTAAAATAGTGACATGGCTCTTTTCCACCAAGAAGTACCAGTGACTCAACAACCAACTGAAGTTCCCTCTTGTGTTCTTGTTTGATTGTTTTTAGTGCTAAAACAATTAATGTAAGGGTAATTTCTACTATAAATATCATTTCACAACATTTGGCAGTTTCAGCTTCTTAAATGTGAAAGACTGCTGCTTCTCTCTTTTGCTGTGGCTCAGTGGTAGAGTTGGTCTTCCCTTTAACCAGAAGGTCAGAGGTTTGATTTCGAGCTCCTGCTACTACACGTCAATGTGTCTTTGGTTAAGACGCTGAACTCCAAATTGCTCCCACTGTAATGTCAGCTAATATGTATGAATGGGATTAGTTAATACTGATGGACACTTCACACAGCAACGAGCTAACAAGCTCAAGTCCATTTACCCTTTATCGTTATGGACTCATCCACTTTGGGTGATCATCTTTGAATGGTACAATAACTTTATCAAAATAAGTCCTTCAAGAGCAGGAACTTGTAACGGGATTCAGTCGCGCTAAAAGTTTCCTGAAAAGTTCCTGTGGTGGAAAAGAGCCAGTAACTTCACTTAATGTCGGCTGTCTCTTCACGGAGTTGGGGAACCTCTTAGTTCACTACACTCAGTCTGAAACTCTAACTCTTAACGTTTCTCGCAGATACCCGCCAGGCGTAGTTGGAGTGGCTCCGGGCGGCATCCCAGGGGCATTAGAGGGCATGGTGCCAGGTGGGGTGCCCATTGCCCACACCCTGCCTTCTGGTACACACCCCTCCCAGGCCCCATCGCCCAACCAGCCCTCCAAACACGGCGAGACCAGAGAGCACCTCACCGAGCAATAGCAGCAGAAGGGATCGAACCGCGACATCTCATCCGACCTGTTGACACTCACAACCAACCAATCACAACGCAACTGACCAACTGGGACCAAGAGACAGTGAAACTACACAACGAGCCAGTCGGCAACTAGGAACAAAAGAAGTGTTCCGGGGAATTTGTACTTTTAACGTTTTAGTTTTTACTCTCTCTGTCTCTTTGGGTTCAGTACCGACTTTACTCTTTGATGATGTTATTTTTTTTGTTTTTCTTCTTCGGGACATGCCTATGATTGTGGACACAGAGTCCAGTGTTTTTAGCCCTCTGGGATGAATCGATGAGACTCTGTCCTGACCCCCCATCTACACCTCAGAGCTCATGGGAGAACGTAGGCCCACATCTCAACACAACAATGGGCGAACAGGAGAGAAAAACTTTGGCATCATGTGCTACTGGACCTTATACCCCTCCTCCTCCTCCTTATAACTCCATCCTGATCCTCCTCCTCCTCCTCCTCTCCTCCACCTCTCCTCCAGCCCTCCTTATGTAACTAATGTGTGTTGTTTAGGCCCCTCATTATGCCTCAGAAGAGAATTATTATTTTCTTTTTCAATTTTCAGTGTGAATGACTTAAAATGGATTATTAATTATATATATTTATCATTCGTCAAACAAGAGGAAAAGATTGCTCATCAGTTTTAGTGATCTAGAGTGGGTTTTAACCCTTTCCTGGCAGCAGACAAATGATGTGTCATGGTTGCAGTTGCAGGACTTCACCACACGAGGGCGCTTCTACACAGTGTGAGGGATGTCACCCGCACCTGTAAGAACACAAGGTGCTCCAGTTTATTCAGAGCCGTCAAGCAAGAAACACTACACAAACATTCACTTTATACATTTGTAAGTAGCTGAATTTTGGGGTTGTATGAATTTAGAGGGAGCTTCTGGCAAAGTATTTAACTTTTTGTTTGAGTTAGTAAGAGTTGGTGATTCATCAGTGTGACTGTGAGCAGTGAAACAGGAATAATAAAAAAAGAAGTTTGGATGAAGGAATCGCATTCTAGTGTAGACAAACTGACCTTCTGATCACAGCTGACGATCATATCACAGAATGTGACCCTCCTTTCTTTGAGCGCACTGAAGACAGGAAAGGGTTAAAGCAAACATCTTTTCTTAATGACTCAGGAAAAAACACTTTTTTGCAGATATTGTTTATGCCCAGAATTTTGTCTTTGAGGAAAAAAAAAGATGAGACTAATGTTGTTAGTCGGTATATTTCCTCTCCTCCCTCATCCTCTCCATTGTGGTATTTTTATATACAAGGCGCATCCCACGTTTTTTGGTGTTAAAGAGTTTTGAAGAGTCCTGTTAGATTTGTAATGCCTAGTTAAATGTTCCTATAACCATAGTCCTTTGTGATCCGCCCCTCTCTCTCTCTCTCTCTCTCTCTCTCCTTCTATTTTTCTTTGTTCTATTGAAGGCCAGGTTTCTTTGGGGGGGCATCCTGTACTCTGTAAGAGCAATAGCAGAAACTCCTACTTAGTGTCCCGACATTAGCGAAGAGGCAGCCAGCAGTATGTTTTTGTTTTTAGTGTGAGTATTTGTATTTGTTTCTTGTACAAGGTGAACATTTAGCATTCAGTGCAGTTCAAATAAAAGATACGATTCTGAGAAAACGCCGTCTGTATCAACAGTTTTTTCCCTAAATGTTTAAGATTACGAGGTTTATCTTATCATTTATTTACTACAAGATTAAACAATCGCTGAGGTATCCCTATAGTCCTAAAAACAAAATAAAAAGCAGCACATGTAAATGTTCCACATTGAAGTTAAAAAATAAACTCAACACCAACAACAAGTTGACTCACGGCTAGAATCATCTTTGAATCTGTTGGTTATTAAACTGTGATTCAGTTTGTCGATGGATAACTCTGCAGCTTACTTTGAAATTATTTAGTTTTTTCTAAAAACGTTAGGATAAGGAGACCATCTACATATGCAAGTCAAATGTTTTTGTATCTCGGCTTTTCATTGCATAACCCATTTCTGCCCTGATGATTCTACTGAACTTTACATCGTAGTTAGAGAGGACGCAAAGGTGATTTAACATGAAGAAGCTTTGAGCAGAGCTATGGTGCAAGTAAAATTTGTCGACTTTTTCTTAATTTTTTTCTCACTATGAAGCAATTTACTTAACAGGGCAGTCTAAAACCTGCTCCATTCTGCTCTGGTTCCAAAGTCGAATAAGAGTATCAAGTGAAAAAGCTTTGGGTATGTTTCTTGTTTTTGGTGGGCGTGTCAAAGGTTTGACCCAATCAGCTGCAACGTGTTTAGAAATCCGGCTGTATTTAAACAGGCAGGCCGCTTGCAAAACAAAAGATACACAAGAGGAGAATCAGCTGACAAACATCAGCTAAATAAATGTTTTTCTTTGATTTGTCAAGGCTGAACACATCCCGGGGCTTCAACTGTGTTAGCAATGTTGACCTTGTCCTAGTGTGTAACAGTCTACTAATACATCTCCCATCTCATGTTCTGGAAATGCAAACTAGTTCATGTCGAGTCGAAAAAAAAAAAAGAGTCCCTCATCTTTACACCATAAAAATTAGTAATTCAAAATAAAAAAATTGAAATAGGCAATAAAGAAGATGCAAGTGAGACAAATTTAATAGGAATGCACTCTTTTGAAAGAGGCAGAGTGTTCATTTCTTTGTTCTCCCCACCAGCATCACCACCACCCACTCTATCATGACCATGAGCCGTTAAACCACACGTAAAAATGTCAGTAAAACTTAGGCGTCCTTTCCCCCCTTCCCCCTCAATAATCTGTGCAAAATAAAATACTTCAAGACCGAAAGGGATCCAACAGAACACAGATAAAACAGGGCAGGACAGAAAGGTATCACCTCCCCTAAACAATAAATAAATCCAAACATCAGATGGGGGGGTGGGGGTGGGGGGGGTCACAGAGGGGGGGGAGTGTTCTTTCAACCTGAACACACAAACAAGGGTTAGCATCACCTCAGTTTTAAGCTAAATTTCTATCAGGCAACTCTGTAAATGAAATTTCCCATCTAGAGCAGCCTCAGGGTTTACTTGTGTATATATGTTTCTATCATTCATGGCATTTCTCTCAGGTGGACATAATGACTGATAACAAACAAGGACAAGTCTGGGGACAGGAGCTCAAACTAAGCAGACTTGAAGTGCTTTCATAGGAGCAGTAATCAGGATTCTGGATGTTGGTGCTGGTTTCTTTTTTTTTTTTGCTATCACAGAGCTCACAGAACACATGCATTATTACAAGTTAAAAGATTTACATTTTGGAGAAAGAAAAAAAAAAAAAAAAAAAAAACATGTAGATGATAGGGCTCTCTCTCTCTCCCAGAGCCCTCAGTGTCCAGTCTCAGATATAAGAGCTCTCTTTTCCTTCTCTCACTCGTCTTCGTCGTCCTCCTCCTCGCCGTCAGAAAGAGAGGCACAGGGGCGGATCTGTCGGTATCTGTCCAACCACTTCTCCACCATCTGGGTGACCAGGGGGTGGTTACGGCGGCGGGAGCTTTTCTGCATGGCTGCCAGCATGCCTCCTTCTGTCACGCAGCAGTCCAGCCATTCCCTTAGCAGCTTTTCCTGCTGCTCCTCGTTCCCCATCTGGGTTGCACATAAAAACATGCAGTTTGTTATTACGCATCATAATGGGATGTATTTACGATGTGAAATCACTGGCGAGTACAGTCAGCGGAATCGTACACCATAGAGACTTTTGAATTTAATATATTCAAAGTTTTTTTTGTGCCCTTGACGTATGAAAAAATAAAAATTGGACAACAATGAGAAATGAAGGAATACGTATGGTGGGGTCACCATTTTGGTCAAGTGAAATTGTGTTCTTTAAATCTTTCAAACAACGGCCTAAAACTACACACATAAAAACACTGAGTCATCAGTAAAAAGGAACAAACTGTCTGAGGAATAAATGTCCATGAACATTTATATGCAGTCATTAAGTTTTTGTCTTTGACTGGAGTGACACATCGTAGGACAATGTGCTTAAAGAAAAACTTGAGCGCCCATATAATTAAGATGTGCCACAAAAATGTATGCATTAATTAATGCAACAAGTGTTTGATTAAAATGTTTTTGGAGGCAGACAAAATCAGGACTAATTGGACTAATTCTTCACGGAAAAACTTTTTTAAATTTGTTTTATGAATCCCTTTCTTGAACAGAATTGTTCTTCCACTGATTATTTCACATCGGGTAAAATGGGAGCAAACCTGCAAATTCTATAAGTTCATTTGGACTTAAAGAAAACTCAATACTAAATATAAATTTTAAAAAAATAATTCAGATAAATATACAGAAAATACATCACAGTTCCTACCTCTTGTGCAGACAGGAAATGGATGTGCAGCAGCTTCCTCTCGCTGTCGACCAGAGGCAAGAAAGTGACTGTGACATCATCGTCAGTATTGAGGTTGGCGCCAGCACCGCGATTGTCGTAGCCGTCGTTCTCCATGGCCACCAGGGCCGAGAAGTGGCCCCGCGTGTAACCCAGGGCGATGGGGCTCTTCCAGCAGAAACTCTGCTCCCATAACAGAGGCAGGTACACACCTGAACACACACACACACACACACACACACACACACACACACACACACAAATCAAGTCAGACCAGCTGGAAGCCGCTGTACACCACCACATTCAAACCTTCTGGGACAAACAGGCCCTGCAGCTAAACGCTCATGTTACAAAGTGTACGGATGTCATTCAGAGACAAGCAACATCTCAAATCTGACTCCTCCTCAAGATTGAAGTATTTGAGACACCAACTGGCCCTCCTCTCTGTGAGAACTGAGCAGAGAGGAGCAGCGTGGTGCAGCCTGGTGCCCTGCTTCTTAATGACAGCGTCCTCCCCTGCCCCCTTGTTCCTTCAGCAGACCCACTTCCTGCTCTAAACACAATCTACCAATCAGGAGACACTTGGCACTGTGGCACCAGCTCCACACCTACTCCAGCTATTCTCTGATTATGATTAACATGCCACACTGCACACTGATTTTAATTGGAATGTGCTGACTCATCAAAGCTTAATCATCTTACTAAACAAATCTACTGGCAGTACAGCAGACTGACTGAAGCAAAGATATTCTGTGTAATTAAGCAAGTGGGCAAGTTTAAATAGTAAATCCTGCTTTTTTTTCTCTGCAGAGCTTTTCAGAGGCTACGAGTAAGACTCAAGGACGTCATTACATGTGCTGTTTTTAAACAGCTACAACTTACATCAGACACTGAAAGGGTAAGGTCGTTCAGAATGACAGAGAGTAAGCTCCAGTTAAAAAAAAAAAACATGCAGATCATCTTTAGTTTGATTATTTAAGTCTGAGAGTTTTTAATCCACTTCAAGTGTCTTCAATCTCATCGGTTGAGAAAGAATTTCAACAGATTTCAGGAGACTTTCCAGCAGCTAGTACTTCATATGAAATTTTCCCATCAAAGTTTGTAAACAGAGAATAAAACCAGAGCTCTTTGCTTGACTCAATGCCACGAGAACTTTCAAAAAATCCTGTCATAAGTAAGTCAGTAAATACTGATAGTTATTGCCACTCGTAAAGAAATCTATCACCCGATTGTATCGAAATCCTGCCTCACCTTGAAAACGTGTGTATCCTAACGTTTCCCCACGGAAACTTTTGTAGTATTTCACTCCGTAGACTATGATGGGTCTCCGAAGAATGTGTGCGAGAACAAAGATGTGCGTCTGCTCAGGCTGGCCCCGGGCTGACGGAGGACACAAAGAAAGACAAATAAACGACACATTATACAGTAGTTGTACTCATATTGACTTCCTCACAGATGTACAGTCTATATTCAAATATCTAAAAATAGTGAACGTGGCTGAGAAGTGCTGTGATCATATTGCAAAAGAGTGTCTGTGACGCTGTATCGCTGCAGCTTTGAGAACGACTGCATGATACTTTCCCTCTTTCTCTAATAAAAAAGAGATTTTAGATGAAGGACAGCTTCAATGACATTTTCTATTTTAGAGGGGGTTCAAAGTCATTCACTCTTGTAGGATGGGATATACAAAAGGCGGATCGTATCCTTTAGATCTCTCATTACAGCCAAAGCCTGAGACAAGGTTATCACATGCTAGCTTTGGTTGCGTTTGTTTATACTGCCCGTGGAGTGGCTCTCTGAGCTAAATGCCTGTAATCCTGAGGTCACATGTTGGGAAGGAGTGCAGCTTCAGCATCTGTGCCAGCCAAGCAGACGAGCGGTCTGTCAATCTACAACTCCATCTTAGAGGGGATCTACAATAATTGCTGATGTCCTTCCGTCATTCAGGCACGATACCCCTTTCGCAGTCCGTGTGTCTCTTCCAACTGTGTCTCCTGCTCAGTATGTTGCAACTTAATCCACAGAAGGTTAAAAAACAACTTCCAAAGAGCGCAGCTGATACATACATAGAGACAATTTTGCATTTATGAGCGTGTGTTTGTATGCGAGTGTGTTGACAGCAGGATATGCTGTTACAGCTTGGCATCTGTCCATCTGTGTGTAAGGGTTAAAGTATGTTCCAAGGCAACTTACTTTGAATACAGCATTGTTTACACGACCCTCACCCATGCTGTTCATTTAATTACAGTTTTAAGAATGACACTATAAGGTGAGGGTCTCTGCAAGTTTCAGCGAAAGGACGTGACAGAAATGTAAATCAATATCCAAAGTGAAACCCTAAGCCTGGCAGCTGCTGTGAGCTTATAGCAGGTTAGATGGAGATCTGGACCCAGAGTGGGGTTATGAACCCATGTGTCATGTTCTCATGCTCAACGAGGACACAAATAAGGACGTGCATGTATAGTATGTACCTAAGTGTGCTCGTGAAGTGATGGAAACTCTGCAGAGGATTGTCTTGGAAATGTGTTGTTCATGCTAGTTCACTGATTGACTTGCAGAAAACTAAACTGCTGAAAAATTGCAGAACCTTTCCTGCCAGCCACCCTCCTGAATTTTCAGTGTTTAAGTCCAAGTGAGCTGATGTGAGAATGGAGCAGGAAATGTTCAGGAGTATTCACAGCGAGCAAGCAGGAGGGGGTGGTGGCGTTAATGATAATAATAATTTATACTTTATTGATCCCATGAGGGGAAATTCGTTTTTACACTCTGTCTAGTTAACATGCTACACTCTTACACTCTGTCTAGTTAACATGCTACACAAACATAGGCCGAAATACACACACACATGCACTAACAGGATCCTATGGACATGCACCTCCTATGGAGGGGCCTCAGAGTGAGGGGGCTGCCCACAGTGGGTGCCCTTGGGCTGGTGGGGGGGGGTTAGGTGCCTTGCCAGCTACAAGGCCAATTTCGGGGCTTGGTCTGTGCTGGGGCTTGAACCAGCGACCCTCTGACTCCCAACCCAAGTCCCTACAGACTGAGCTACTGCCACCCCATAACATCCTGCTAACAGCACATGACCATAGACTGTACATGCGTGTCCATGCACATAATGAAACAGCTTCATTCTATTTCCCAGTACTTTCTTCTCCACTGTCTTGTTGATAGTTTGAATGTTTCTAACTATAAAGCATTGATATAAAAAGGAAACAGTCTCATTAAAGCGTCGGACTCTGTTGCTTCGTCCGCCACTTCAGCATCATTGTTTTTACATCACGTCTTGCGATGCCGCGCCCCTCCTGCCCCCCCAACCCCCCACACCTGTTCATCAGGGATAGTCTTCCACTGTGACGAGCATGTGTGAACAATATACTCAGGAGGATTTCAGGGGTCAAATGTCTGAAATGTTGTAGAAATGATCAGGACATGCATATGAGATAACAGCCTGTTTAGGTTTAAAGGGAAAAATAAAGAAATATATGAAATTGTGCTGTAAAAGTGTTGAAAAATATGCATCAAAACTTGTTGCCTTAAGAATTCACATGATGTGTTTCATGAAAATTAAACTTAATTCTTGTTTAATAAGGATAATAATCCCTGAGGTGCCTAAAACTGGATTTTTTGCTCGTCTTTTTTTCTACGACACTTTTTTTTTTTTTTTTTTAAAGGAAAACAACTTTTTGTTTTTGTGCCAATAACCACAAAAGGAGAGCGGGCAACTTCACACACTCACTAAATAATTAGCATGCCATTTGTATCTCGAGATTAATCTAGTCTTCCGTGTTTAGGGCCGTTCCATTTATGCAACAGTTCTTTCATGTATTTTCCTGTTCCTCACAACTTCTCCCACCTCATCATGCACTTACCAGAAGTTCAAACCCTCCCTAAACACACTGACCACAATATACTGGGCTGTTTTCGTTTCTGCCTTTGGATTGATAGTGAACAGGAGGAAGGAAGTGAGTAAGGCATAAGGAACCTCATAATTACCTGACTGGCCAAAGACAGGATGAACGCCCAGTCCTCCTGCCACTGCTCCTCTCTGAGGGAGAAATGTAAACCGAAGCTCTGCGAGTACCACGACTCCCACTCCTTCCAGCGTGTGTAAAACCTAAAAATAAAAAATCACATAAAGACTATTTTCAAACAATATCTTAATCAGTTTTGTACGACTGTCACACTGATTATTATTCCACACAGTTTAATTGAAGTACATCACAACCCTTATTTTGTCCACCGGTAAACTTTAAAAACACTGACATCATCTGACTTGTTACATTTCATAAGGAGAAAACCTCTAATGTCTCTACTAAGTAATTATACTCTTGTATTTGATTAAGCAGAGGAAGTATGTAAATATCCTGACATAATGCTTCTACACTAAGTCAAATCATGAAAGCCTACAAACAGCAAGCAGAGAGAGACAAAAACAGTAGTCCACAAAGACACGTTTTTTTATACTTTGTCTCACTCAAGCAGTTACTACACCGACAGGAGAGCCAGAAAAGCATCATTCTACACAAATTTCACTGCGGATAATCCATGGTGATAAGAAATACCTGAATGGAACCTTCTTTAAGTAAAAAATAATGTTGTGTGCTTTTATGCAGACAGTATGTGAAAGACACTTTGGAAAGGGGGCACAATCAATAACAGTTTCTCAAACTCTAAAAAGTGTGTCTGGGGTTAAAGTCTGTGAAGAGTTTGTCGTCTCACCAATGGGAACAGTCGTGCAGGCTGTCATGGAGGGTCTTGCGGAGCACTGAGTCCTTGTCGTAGATGCCCCAGGTGGCCTGTAGAACGGAGTCCAGCAGACAGTCTCCTGCTGTGCGGTTCCATAAGGCGTACAGGCGACTGTCCAGGCGTGTGCCCAGCTCCAGAGACCAGTTGATGACAGGAGACTCCTCTTCTAACTCTTTACAAAGACAGAGGGACGGTCAAAACACAGTGCGGGGTGAAGGCATTTCCACACTGCTATTTGATAACAGAGAGGAGAGTTCAATAAAAAAAACCTGAATGATATATCAATATCGGCTAGTCAATATTATTGGTCTATTTTTGGCTGTTTGCCATTATCTACCTAGAACTTGGACGGAAACATTGACACAGAGAAGCCATATGAACTAAGAAAAAGGTCTAACTTACAGAGTAGGGTATGGATCAATGCTTTCATTTAGTGTCAAACTAGCAGGGGGACAACATCCTCGATATCTGCAAAGACACAGGGAAAAGACATGATGTTTTCAGTCTCATTACAGCCTAATAGCACACAGCGCTGAGGGCAACAGAAATGCAACCGTAATGACCCACAGAGGGGACTTTCTTTGCAATTCCATTCACTGGCTGACATTTTGTCAATGGCACACTGTAAACACAAGCTCTGTGCAGCATGATGTGTTTCTGTGTGTATTGAACTGTGCATACACAAAACCAGAACACTGGTGGCTATTCTCTGGCTCAATAGTGAATGGCACGCTCTTTGTTAGATAGAGAGAGAGAGAGAGAGAGAGAGAGAGAAACAGAGGGGGAGTGTCCTGAAGCTGGCCTCGGGCCAAATTCAGTCTGCGATGAAATACAGGGCATAACGTCAAAAAAAGAAATCCATCAGTGAAGCCTGCATAATCTTTCATCCCGGTGGCACTGCCAGCTCTAAATCTGAACACAGCTGGTGGTTGTGAAGAGAAAAGAGGATGTCATCTGAAGACATGATGCCACAGGGATGAGACACAGAGTCGTTATGTCTCTGAACAATGCTGCTCAACAAGGCTCGCAGTCACTCCTCCAACTCTCAAGTGAGAGAAGGAGTAAAACATCAACCCTTACCATTTCAAGATCACACACTGAAATCTTCTTTATACCATTTAAACACAATTTCATAGAGGTGAAAGGAAAGATTTTATGTCACACTTAGTGTTAATGTATTCTGCAGTATTCATCGTCAATCTTTATAACAGGCCCTCAAATTAGGCCTTTATTTAAGACAGGTGTTTATTGCGGCTGTACTGCACATGTGCAATGAAAACAAAGACTTTAAATGATGTCATCATTGTGAGGCTGTGGGTACCTGCAGGCAGAGTAAAGGTGACCAGGTCAGTGAGGAAATAACAGGCAAAGTCTCCTTTGCGCTGATGAAGCGAGGCTGCGATCTCCCTGCGGATCTGCTCCGTGAGCTCAGGACAAACCAGGGAGGGGATGCACTTAGCTGCCTGCTGGTTCACCTAAAATAAACAGACGGATAATTCAAAATTAGAGGTAAATACACCAACATTAGTATGCTCAATTCCTTCTGCCTACACTAGTGTATGTCAAGTTTTTACAAACGTGCATTATGAGAAATGTTGTGAATCAAATAGTCATCACTTGTTGGACTATTTTGTGTTGCTATAATTTGCATGCAACTGAATGTCATTTAAGTTGCAAAGACATTTCACAGTTAAGAGACGTTCTTTTCTCTTCAGACCTCGGCTCAGGCCTCTGTGCCTCTCCTAATCGTCGCTCGCCCTCCTTGCGGACCACATCAGCTCTGTGGCATCAAGTCCATTAGAAACCAGTGACAGGACTGAAGCCAGGCTAATCCTCTACCTAATCCTCAAAGTGCACTTCTGCTATAATTATAGGCATCACAGGCATCTGCTATGTATCCACTACTTTGGCGCGGAACGATTATCGACTGATGTGGGTGACAAAGTAAGTACAGAAAACTCTATACACAACATTATTTTGTTTATAAATGATTATTTTGGAAGACTGTGTGGTAGTAACCTATTCTTTTTTAGAAATGAATAATCTTCAAACAAGTACCAATTAAAAACTGGCTCCTCCAGTACTGCTTCCTGGTGTTTTATGTGCAGAAAGATCCTTGTAGGTAGGCTGGATAAATAAACACTCAGTGGATGTACACTTAAAGCTGATGTAACGCATTTACCTCTGTGAGCAGGATGGCTAGCATGTCCTGCCTCTGGAAGCGGATGGCCAGGTGCACCAGAGTGAAGCCTACGTCAAAGGCAGAGGAGCGGCTGAGGAGCTGCACCTCCTCGGCAGTCAGCTGCCGGGCGATGTCACCACCGGACGATTTGTAGGCTTCCACTGCCGCCAGATCGCCATCCACCACTCCTGCAGCAGAGGGGGCGGAAGAAGGAGGAAGGAAGGTCAGAAAATAGGAAACAAATGCTGGAACTGAAATGTTTAAAAAAAAAAAACAGTTGAGCGTTGCCTAAATATATCGGTGTGGTTGCTTTTCCAGGAATTCTTGAACAAAGGCTTTTGATGTTAGATGAAGTCACACATAGCTACATTGTTTAATCTCAGTTTCAAGGAAAAAGCAAGAGTGCCGCTACAAACAGATCACATTCAACAGTTCACCAAGCCAGCTGAAAACTTGGACACTAACCCGGACGGATGTACACTCAGTGGTAGAAAAGTACACATAAGAAACACGTCCAAGAATCGACTGATATGATGCGTATCAGGATGCAAAGGTTACAATTCAATTTCCAATATATATTATGATATAAGCTAAACAACAGAAATGTAAGATTTAGCAGTTTAAAAACTAAAGTTGGACTTCCAAAAGGGGACTTTTTTTGTGAAACTACAAGTAGGGTTGTCACTGTACTAATTTATTTTCACTTTGACAATCAAAGGATATTGGACTCCTTTACATCCTGTACATTTGTGTTTTTTAATGTTAATTTCATCGTTGTGTTGTTACTTTGTTGTTGTTTTTATCTCTGCTCTGTAAGGTGACCTTGAGAGTTTTGAAAGGCGCCTTTAAATAAAATGTATTATTATTATTATTATTGATAACAAAATAATTTGATTTATTCATAACACACTTTAAATTTGAAGCAAATGCTACAAATACATACCACTTGTTTCGATACCACAGCAACAAAAAGAAAAGTCCTAGGCACCAAATACTGGAGATTTTCTTGTTTTTTTAAATGACTAAAAAGTAAATGTCCAGACCAGATGAAAGGTCACATTTGATTATATAAGTAATGAACTAAAATTGCTGCCTGTTGGGGTGGCTTAGTGTGTGATGCAAGAGCCCCATGTAAGGATGCTGTGGTCCCCCCTGTGGCTTCCCTTCCCGCATGTCATCTATCCACTGTCCTCTCTCTACAATAAAAAAAAAGGACCGAAAAGCCCAAAAATAACCTCAAAAAAGATATTGCTGCCTGTAAATTATCAACAGTTTAATCAAAAAGTCATCATCTTTCAAACTACTGCAGGTATATTATACTGCAGGCCTGCTTTATCCTAATACAATATTGAAGTCACATTAGTTGTCCATAATAAACTGGTTACTGAGTGTTTGTGACTCTGCTTTTCCAAATAATGTCGCTTCCTGTTCAAACACATCTGAAATTAATGTAGAGAGACACGAGAATCCTTTTATAACAGGCTGATTCTTTATAAATGGATTAGACTGCCTTCTTGGAGCAGCTCCAAAATCATGTCCTTGCTTGTAAAGCAAGATGTAACAGACAGCTTGCCATGTCCAATGAAAGAACTGCAGAAATATCCATCAAACTGAGCTAACATCATCACACTGTTCTTAGTCACCACCAATTAATATTCAAACCCTGCGAGGAATTAACATATCAAATTCCACCAGAGGAGAAGAATTTAAATATGCAAAAAGACTTTGAAGTGAACGGAGCTCTCTAGTTCCTGACGTCAATCCACAATACAGTTGACCTCTAGACGTAGCCACAAGCTAACCCAGTGTGAAAACAGTTGTCAGCCTGTCAGGCTACAACACAGCCGAACAGACAGAGCAGTGTAGCTTTTTAATGCCCAGCTATCAGAGAGCTGTGTCACACAGAGGACAGTCTGTGCAGCTTAACGTCCTCCCCCTCCTTTGGATGTCACAAACTCAACATCTGTTCTGACTGAAATGAGCAGCAGCTAGGTAGCACGCCGAACATGGAAGTGCTGGTTCATTTTTTTTTTTTTTTTTTCAATAGGCCAACTGATATGAGGATGTTCTCTTTAGCCAGGAACAGAAAGACTACCTCGAGAGAACCTGAACAGGGAACGTGCCAAGAACACCCAGTCTCATTTTACACATGCTGGGTGATATTTTGCAAACACGGATCCATAAATAGCAGCTGAATTATTTTGGCTGCAATCAAGCTACTACCATGCAGGAGACTTCTCAGGTGAATGAAAAATCAGACAGTTATTTTGCTCAGTTTAGGTCAAAGTTATCACACAACACAAACAAGAGCTAAACCTATTACACTTCATCTTCATCTGTAGAGTTTCAACATTAACGCGCTGATAAGGCGTTTTTATGACTGATACAAAATCTTGAATTGAGGGAGATTCTTTCAGGTCTTTAGCAACTGTTGCTGAGGACATTTTTCACATTTGTTCTTTTGTCAACTCAGCACCGGCTTGTTTGCGGTTACTACTTCAACAGCCAGAAAGTTCTCTCTAAAATAACATTGCATACTAGTAGAAATGACAGGGTCGTGCGCACAGCCTTATCATTAATACAACATTAACAGAATGTCCACAGTTTGAGTCTTGCTAAAGGCCTGTGTTGCAACCCTAACCCTTTCTTTATCTCCATTTTTTCCCTACCTTTCTTTTACTTCACTTAGTATGTTGCTGTAAGTTAATAGACTGCTACAATATATCACCTTTCTAGTCTTACAGCCAGCTAAAGGGCCTCACACAACAAGTCACATATACAAGGATTCACACCCTTAACACACACAGACTCATACTCTGATGACAAGAGACTGCAAGGTACAGATGTAGCCCTAAAGATTTCATCTGTCACATTCGTGCACAACGTGGGCTGTGGCTTCAGGAGGAACGTGGGGTTCAGTATAGAGATGCTTCAACAGACATTCAGGAGGAGCAAGGGATTTAACCGCATATCTTGTGGTTAGAGGAAAACAGGTTCTTTCACTGAGCCACAGCAGCCCCTTTGCAGTTCCAATAAGTACTAGGGTTGTCTGTGTCCAGTACCAGAATTTGAAAGCTCAGGATGACACTAGTAAAAACCATTTGATAATGATCAATATCATGGAAACAGAAAAAGATGATTTGTGTAACTAACACATTAATCTTTCTCTTTCACTTGCAGCATCTGGTTAGAAAAACAGACTGAAGAACTTCGGAGGGTTCTTTAAGGCTTGGTCTCTTGAAGTGCTGATAGCCTAGCGGTTATGTCACAGTGGGTTCAAACCCCACTTCGGCCCTTTACTGCATCTCACCCCAAAATGTCCTGTCTCTCTTCAGCTGTCCTATCCAATTAAAAGGCATAAAAATAACACGCATAAAAAAAAAAGCTTGGTTCATGACGATTCTGGAACAATTAAAATAAAAGACTATCGTTTTAAAACTCAAATCGAAAAGTATCGAAGCATCGCACATTTTTATACCATTCCTGGCTATTGCGTTCCTGTTGAAAAGCGGCCTCATGTTCCCTGGCGTTACCTAAGCAGCTGTCTTTGAGCTTTGCTTTATGAACATAGTATTAAGTTTAGTACATAACGTGTACTTAAAGTATGAAACCTAGTTTGCCAGTCATGTCCCAAAATGGAGACAACATTCAGAAATAAGTCATCCTGAATGTCAGGGAAGACTTGTTTCATTCCCTCCACTGCAGTGTAACAATAGAAACAGACTCACACTGATGTGGCGATATTGTTTATCTTAAAACTCTACTGCCCAGTAAGAGTTATGTTTGTCAGCACAACTTCTACCATCTGATATTACTAATATAGAAAGATTGTGTAGTCATGGCTGGCTGACATTCCTCTGAGCATGTTAGATAAAAATTCAGCTGATCAACATCATTGCCAGAGCTTGGAGGCAAAAATCACACAGCTCCTCCATTAAGTTTTTTTTTATAATCACTCTAATCATAGAAAGTGTACAAAACATTATCATGAGCCACATCAAACTGGAGCATAATATGTTCATACAGAAAAACATTCTCAGCCTTTGAAAGAGTTGTCGGTTTAAGTCTTTCTGGGAAACAAAAGAACAATATTACACAAACAGAGCCTGTTTCCTTTTGTGGCAAAGTAGACTCAAATGGGATCAAATTCGAGCACTAGAAAAACACTAGACGAGAAAAATGGGAAAACAGTCGAGAAAGCGAGATCAAGTTGTGAGACCTGAGGAAGCTTGGCCGTAATGTGCTCTTATACTCAGACACTTCCTCCACCGACAAACCTCTAAAAAGTGCCCAACTGTAGCACAAGCATTTAAACTGAGAAAAATAGGCACAACAGTATTTAGGATTGAATAAAAAAGGTTGTGAAAGTTGAGAATCAGGTAGAGAAAGGTCTGTCCGTGACAGAAGAGAGATTTTTTCTACTCCACAACAACAAGCTGCAGATGGCAGTCAGTGCAAAGGTCAGGAGGACACTGACCATGTGCTGCCTTCATGCCTTTTTTTTTTAAAAATTGTATTGTTGACGGGTGTCCATGTCTTGTCAAGGCTATTTTTGCCTCCTCAGGACATAAGCACCACTGTTTATGGGCTCTGTTGACTGCGAGCCAGGAGAGCCTCTGGTCCACGGACTCCACTCTCGCTGCACTGGCCAGACGGCCCATTCATCTCCACCGGCTGGGAAGCACTCACACCCTCTCAGTTTCTCAAAGACAGCTCTCAGTGGCACCAGCAAGGGCAGCGAGGGGGTCCACGGATGACTTGGATCAAATTCCTACTAGCTGTATTGTGGCGCATCTTTATCATGCTGCCGCTCAGCATCATTTACACTCTGTTGGTGATAACCATCAGCTCACTGCAGCAGATATTTCCAGCTGAAAGCTCCACCTTGTGAAATTAAACCCTTCCCACAGAGCTTGCCAGGTTATTGTTTTGCTAAATTCCTGATGTACTATAATATTTGTAGTCAAAACAATGAAACATTTTGTTCATTCATTAAAAAAAAATACCTAGGGGATAACAATACTATGCAACCTTGGGCCTCCCAGGGTGAGGATAATCTACACTGAAATAAAACACACCTAAACTAAATGTAAAGTGAATAGGACAAAAACATTCAAACCACTGCCTCTGACTCGAGTACCTCGCTCTGTCATCACTGAGCATCATACCACTGGAGGAAACAAAAAGCTGCTGTGACAACAAAAGTGTTGTTACAAGGGGAAAAACTGGGACAAGAGCGTGGAGTCTTTGTACAAGTAAGACTGTTCTGGGAAGGCAAAGAGGGAAATGAGGTCAAAGCATATCCTCTGACATCATCAGAGCCTGATAAATTATTTTTTTATCATTATGATGGAATGCACATGGCACACTACAAGCAGGAATGCAATCCTAAGCAGAGTTTGTCTATTACTTTTACACTCGTTATTCCAAACACAAATCAATATGCTATACATGGACATTGCAGGGGCACAGAATGATGCCTTAAAAAACTGAAAAAGGTGCAAATCCTCATACTAAAAAGGAGCTTTACTCATTTGTCTAATTTTCCTGTGGGTTGGCTTCACACTTCACAAATCTTTTCAGGAATGGTTACTAATAATGTATTAAAACTCACCAGCACACGCATTAAGGAACAGCCAGTCTGTTTTCCTCATCCGGTTTCTAATCTGCTTTAGCTTCTTGAAGTCAACCTCTTGCTCCTCTTTGCTGCTCATGGCTCCAGCTGCGAGCTCTATCCTCTGGAAGTCCATTTTCACATTATCTTCCCTCTTGGGCATAGGAGGGGACCTTCTCTGACCCTGGCCTCCACTGCAACTGCTCCTCCATGGAGCCCGGTCCTGCTCATTGATCATCGGTGTCGGCTCAGGAGACTCAGCCAGCTCTATTGCTTCCTGGTTGTTGGGCTTGGGGTGGTCACAAACTACACACTTTGTGGTTTTGGGCCAGTTCTGGTAAGTGCAAGCCGTGCATGTCCAATGCTGATGATGGGTAATAAGTCTGTTTCTGTCATTGTATTCCTCACAGGTATCCACTGGGGAGTGGGGAGCAGGACGGCAGCCTGCATTAGATCCTGAAGTCTGGGGAGACTCAGTCGGACTGCTGGTCCTCTGGCGCTGACACAGGCACTGTGTGCAGCGGATGGCCCGGGGCCAGTTCAGATAGGTGCACATGTGACAGGACCACTTATTGGCGATCTCAACCATGCTAGCCGGCCTGACTCTCGGTCTAGCGCTCGAGTCAGGGCAGATAAGAAGGCTGCTGCCACTCTCAGTTCTGGGGAGGTCCCACTCTAGGCTGGCATCCAACGCTGGGGTGTTTTTGTACGGTTCCTCTGTGATGATGGGACCCCTGGACCTCTGAGCACGGCACAAAGTGCACTTAAGTGTTGAAGGCCAGTTCTCATAAGTGCAGTAGTCACAAACCCACTTCACCTTCTGTTCTGTCATTGTGAATCACTTGATGGTTAACCTGAAACGAGAACTTTAATTAGGACTGAGGCATTAAAAGACGTTCAATCAAAATCAATGCTTTTGGTGATTTAAAAATGAAGAGATATGAAGTTCCTCCAGGTCTTCCAGCTTATTAAATTAACCTACATCTGGCAGGACAGCTTCAATGAAACTGGCAGCTTATGATTCATGTATTATAGGAGCAAAAATACCCCCCCATCCCCCACCACCACCCCCAGCTGTTATTTATCAGTTACAGTATATAGAGTGGTTAACAATCAGGGATTTGACTCACATGGCGTTATTGCATTGCCATGTAATATTATCTGTGTTTAGTTTTAGCTTGCTAGCATGAAGCTAAGCGCCTAGCACAGACAGCCACCGTAAAGTTTGGACTACTAACGAACATTTAATGTGAAATACATTGACAAAGAGGTGTCTTTATGCAGAATATTTGAGGGGATAAAAAAAATGTCAACTCTTACCGTATCACTGCTACGCTCGTTTCTCGAGTGCTGCTGAAAACCACAACAAACCCTTTCGTGTACAGTCCTCCTCCTGCTGCTGCTGCTCCTCTGTCAAACCTTTCCCAATCCGAGATATTTTGACCCCCTTTGTCTCTCACATCTTCACCTCATTATACACATTTACGTCGTCCGAGTAAAACCACACCTTGACGAAATGGTGTCCTCCTTGAATCACGGTAGAAATCCGCGACGCTCCATGGTTTACACAGCCTCCGTGTTGTTTAATGGCGGCGCGACACTGAGACAAATGAGCAGCAGGGCCAAAATAAACGCTCGGGTGCCTTCGTCACCAATCATCTGGCTCAGCGCTCAATGCCATTGGACAAAAGGGGAAGTGCTGTGTTGCTTTCAATAACAATCGGAAATATTACAATAACCCATTTAAATGTATTCGATGTTCAATATAATTTTTTATTTTGAATACCAATGAGCAGAAATAGTAATTACGTTACCACTCGTGAACTCCTTATTTTCTGCCCGCTATGTTTATTCTATAGTTAATGGCTTTTAGAATATTCTGTTTAAAAAAAAAGAAATGTTCGAGGTTTTAGAAACTCTTGAACGCCTCGTCACTCTCGTTGGTTGTGGAAAGAAGTTTGTTGTTGTCTCGTTTATAAATAACGGTGAAGCATAATGTCGGTGTTGTAGAGGTCACATAAAATAAAAAAAAATAAAAAATAAAATAACCACCACTTTTCCATAACAATTTGTATTAATCGTTAATGCCTTTTATTTATTTTCTCAAAAGTAATTTCCTTCTTTCCCCTTATGTAAGTGAAGATAAAAAAACAAAAAAACAAACAGGCTTACTGTAGTTTATAAAGTAGGCTATATGCATGCGGGTCTAATGATAAAAGTAGACAGTTAATTCATGATTAATCAAAATTAATAATAATAAAAAAATATAAACATCATTAATGATTTAATCTTGCTATTCGAGCCTTAGACTGTAACTATCATTGAACACAGAGTAGACATTCACAAATATGTTGTGTAAAATTAAAATCCTTACAAAAGACAGTTTTGGGTTGGACACGCCCCCTGTCAAAACGTCACATCCAAACATGGCAGCTTACTTGAGCCGGCTACACCACATTTCGCTCCACGTTTCAAACGTTGAGAAAATAACAAGTGACCTTGTCTCTAAATTCAAATTTAACTTATTTGCAACCAGACTAACCGACAGGTCCAGGCAGCTTGCTTTCAGAAAAGGTGCAGCGGTTTTCGTTGTTAATGAGAGACCAACTCGGGGTGATGTAAGGTTGAATGAAGAACTCGAAGGCACCACTGAAGGATATTCAGCTGGTCCACACCGGGATAACGCTGGGAAATACAACCAGGATGCCTCCACGAAATGTCTTTACGACGTGAGCCCACATTACTCAGTGGATACTGTAAGTAACGTGTGTTTTGAGGTGGAGGATGTGGAAAGGTCATTCAAAACTCTTCGCCAAATGGGCTGCAATTTCCTGGTTCCTCCCACAACAGTGCAGGACGAGAGTGGGCATGTCACCTACTCAGTGGTGAAATCTATTGTGGGAAATGTATGCCACACACTTATTGACAGGACAAAGTATGAGGGGAGCTTCCTGCCTGGGTTTGATGTCATTGAAAAAGACGGCAGCCTGAATGAAGAGGATATATCTTGCCCCATCACACATTTCGATCACATAACTTATGCCTGCCCGAGGAAAACAACCCACCAGGTCATGAGGTGGTATGAGAAGCTCTTTGGGTTTCAGAGGTTTTTCATTGAGAGGTAATAGAGTATAGACATTTTAAAGATTTGCAGTTGTATTTTCAAATTTCCTGCTTGATTGTCGGAAACAATCTTAACGTTTTTGTCTTTCCGAGTAGTAATGAAGATGTGGATGAAGGCTTTGTCGTAAATCAGGAGGGTATCGGTCTACGTCTCACTGCTATGGAGTACTGGAAATGCAGCAAAGCAGGCATCGCTCTCCCCTCTGTAAACAAAAATGAACCCGACTGCAAGTTTGTCATTGCAGAATCTCTGCCTGAACAAGGTAATGTCAACTGTTCCAACTCTTTCATCTCTGCAAATATAACAGGTGCTGAATCACTGAGTGTTTGCGCTCTCTTTTCAGGCAGGAATCAGGTCGACACCTTCTTGGAGAAGCACAGAGCCCCAGGAATCCAGCACATTGGGCTGTACACAAACAACATTGTTTCTACAGCGCATGTGATGGCTGAGGCTGGGGTCCAGTTCTTCTCCCCTCCTCTCACCTACTACACTGAGGTTTGACTGACTCTTATAAAAGTGTACAACACTGACTCAATAATTGCAACACATTGCAACAGACTTTTACAGAGACCTAACACAAGCTCACCATAAGCAAGCTTTAGGCAACATCTGGCAACAGTGACAAGACAGAAAACACCTACACACAACCGTTTCAAAAGACAGGTGCGTAGGAGAGCAACGTGTCCATCAAAAAGTTAACTTGCAAACAAATATTTTTTAACAGTGACGGGAAAAAACTTCCTTTTAACAGGCCGAAACTTTGAGCAGAACCAAACTGATTGGTGAACAGCCATCGGGCCACGACTGGATGGGCTGAGAGTTTGGGATAGAAAGAGAGTGAGGTGGATAGAGACAAACAAACAGTGCGACAACAGCAGATAATGCTGACCTTTGGCTACAACCAATTATAATAGTATATGTAATATTAGCAATAACAGCATAGTAATGGTAATACAACTGAGATAATAGTCCCTGGTGCAGCTGTAGTCAACAGGTCTAGTATTAGCATTAACGACTAATAATGATACCAACTATAAGAATTATAATATTATAAAATGTTTTAAGCCCACTCTTAGAAGTAGAGGGGTGTACGCCTCCCATACCCTCACTGGTAAATAATTCCCCCAAAAAAAGCAGGACCTAATAATTGAAGGCTCTACCTCTCATACTACTTTTGGAGACTTTAAGTACCACAAGTGTCCCGAGTCCTGTATTAATTTGTCAGTGCAGACTTGTTTTTAACAGGTGTTCATAAATAACATGATATTATATTTGCAAATGAGTAATCCTAACATGCACATATTGAGTTGACGCTATACATTGATATTCACTTTTTTTTTTTACCTATCCTGTGTATTGTGACAGGTGGGAAAACAGCAAGAGATAGAGGAGGCAGGGCATGACCCCCAGGTTCTGGCACAGCATGGCATTCTCCTAGACACAGACCTGCACCAGGACCCCTCGTCACAGTCAACACCCAGTGAAAATAAAAGGTGAGGAGCAATCAAAAGATGTGATTTTGCATTTGAGGCTAGCAGCTTTCCGGGCAGTGTAACTCCTCAAAGAGGGTTTCTATGTCTGCCTTTCTACACAGACTTCTTTTCTTAAAGGGTTTTGTCCATTCTACTGCTCTGGATGGTTTATTTCTATAGTACATGCAACAACCACTTTTTATTTTCTTATTTATTAGGAAGGACGTTGTGCCTCTGGCTTGAAAAGTGCTATATAACTAAAATTATTATTATTATTATTATTATTATTATTAATAAAGTGTTGTTGAGTCTTAAAGTACCAATTTCCTTACATGGTGGTTATTGTCTGTTTACAGGTACCTTCTCCAGGTGTTCACCAAACCAATCTTTGAAGAGGACACCTTCTTCCTGGAGCTGATAGAGCGAAGAGGAGCGACGGGTTTTGGCGAGGGAAACATCAGGGCGCTGTGGAGGTCGGTGCAGGCGCACATGGAGAACCAAAGGGTGGATTCTCACGGAGCATAATCCTCCCCTCCCTGTTTACCATTAGTCACTCCAACTACCTTTAACAGGGGCAAATTTATGTCATGTTATTTTTATATAACAATGTGAGAGCACTTATGAGAGAGAAATGTGTAAAGTGTTAGAATGATGTAACTTATGTACAAGAAAAGTTTACAACAAGTGCTTTGAACATCAGTTGTGGATTTAGTGAAACATATCATGTTAATATCATGTTGCACTGCTAACTCATCAGAAATCATTAACTGTAATAATATCTCACTTTGGGGACAAATATAAAACATTTAACTGCACTGAGAAAAGAAATGGGACAAAATAAAACAAGTAACAAACTGTACTTGAAATATTGAAACAAAAATACTCTGTTAACAGTAAAAAGAAGTCTTTGTGTTTTAACTGTGTCAAAGGAAAGCGACTGACTGACTCCTGAGCAACTGTTCCTCAATAAATCTGTTCCTCACAGTCGGCCGTGAAAGACCAATTACTGTCCTCAAATGTGCTCTGTGTTTCTGCAAACGTGGGTGGGCTTCATCTCAGAAAAAGAGCCCTTTAAAATCTCACAGTTCACCTGAGGGTAACTTCACCAAATATAACTGACTTCAGATGAAATGTAAAGACATTTAAAAATGGAAGGCACTTACACCTTACTTATGCCCATTTTATTCTATTCACACTTGTTCTTTATTCACATTGTCCTTTTTGATCCTGCAGATTCATGTGACAGCGTTTCATACACGTATCAAATGAGACTTCCTCTGGCATAAAAAACCGTAATGAGATGCCTGAAAGTAAATAATGTTGGGTTACAGCGTTAAACACCATTGTTACACATCACTGGATCGGTAATTAAAATACAATACATATACTATGTTACAATATACCACTAAGAGGTGGTTGTTTTCACTCAATATGATGACTGTCTTTGGTAACGGAAGTTATGTAAGAGCGATTTTGAATGCAGGACTTGTACTGGAACTTTGAACATTATTGTATTGCTACCAAAGCATCAGAATACCCAACACTGCTTTTATCCTATAATGAGCTCCAGCTTGACCTCCTACGACCTTAATAGGCTGCCGAGACTGATGATGATACGTAAGTAATGATAATACAATCAATCTATACATCAAAACAATGACCTGAATGGGACATTTCTAATGAGTTAAGGGCATTTTACTCATCTGACCTTGTCTTTAGTTTTGAATGCAGAACATTTGAGCCATAAGGGATGTTTGTCTTCTCCTACTTTTCATTTACTTAAAAGGTGTTTCTTAGCTCTTCATATTTAATTCATAAGAAGTTGACTTAAATTATCTAAATGTATACGTCATTGTACTTATCTTGTACATTTGGAAAACAGCTTTGTTCTAAGCTCTATGCCCATGAGCCATAACAGCTGCATGTCTTTCAGATGCTGCAGAGGATTTAGCGATGTGCATGCTCTGGCAAACACACTGCTTTTGAGCCTCTACAGAAGGAATCTTCAAAACCCACAGGGATGTGCCAGTTCAATTAACTTGGCTATAAACATTATAGGCGGGGATTAGTGGGATAGATGAGAAGCAATGAAACTTAGATGAAGTTCCATGAAAACCATATGCTGTTATTTTTTTTATATATATTCTGAGTGTAGTTACAGTACTTCCTTTGTATAGCCAGAGAATCATTTAAACAACTAAAACAAAATCATGAAGGCTTACATGTACTTCTGAGTTTTGACAAATGGTGTCAGTGTTTTTCTTTTCCTCAAGTGTCACCATGTTGGCATAACATAACTTGAATAAAGATGAATACAGACTTGGGGTTTGTGCACTTGTACAAAGCTTATGAATCCCAACATAAATACTACTACTACTACTGCCATGCATTATAAAACCTAGAACTGAATTTGAAAAAAAAAAATCAGGTACATTTTCAGCAGAGTTAAATGTTGACTGGATTTGGTTCACATTAAAACAAAGTAAAGTCAAGACAGTAAAACTAATGACTCTTAAATCATAAAATGTTGAATTTTGTGGGTTCATTACCGTTGAAAAGAGATGGCTCATGTAACAGGAGCCTGTAACAGCCATCTGTCTGTGGCCAGTGTGCACCACAGATGGCATACAGCATTCTGCATGGGGTCTCAGTACTGGGAGTTGGAAGCTCACTTCCTATTTACTGTTAAACATATGTTTGCTATAGGGGCATGAACAAATGAAAATTAAATGACCAAACACAGAAATCACAGCTTGTTAGTTTCTTAAACTTACAAAAACTGGTATGTTTCAGTTTACTCTTGCATCATTATGATTGGTGGATACTGCCCCCTATGGTTTTGACAATCACAGCACATGCGGCAAAACTTGTTGAACTGCTTGAATCCTGCTTTTCCACGGTGAGCTGTTTTGTTCATCTTTTTCCTGGAGATCTGTGCCTTCCAGGAATACAAAACATGCAAGGTTGCCCCTCTCCTATTCTGTATGTCTTTGCTAAATCTCTCACCCTTCAGACAGCGACTGGGGTTTAAGTACAACAGGAAAAAAAAGTGTCACCCCCCATACTGTAGCCCACACACTGGAGGAGACAAATCCACTGTGCCCTTTAACACAAAAGGCAGACAGTCTTAAACCGAGGAGGACAGTCTGGGGGAGATTAGAGGCACACAACAGATGTTACTCCTTGATTAACAATAGTGTCTGCCAGGGGTGAGATTCAGCTCCCCACCCGTTTGAGGCCCCGCATGTTCACTTCAACCCCTCGTAAAATACATGAACTCAAAATCCTGCTTATGAAGTATGTTTGTTTTAACTTTTTTTCTGGTCCAGATTTTGTGGATGTTACAAAAAAAAACAAGTTCCCCTACTTTTGTTAAGTGATTGCCATGATTAAATTAGGTTTTTAGCAGATATAAATGTTTAAGGCTTTGACTCACTCTGTGTTAGAAAATAGTAGGTAGCGAGTTGATACACATGATGAAAAAAAAGAAACCTGTCTTTAATGTTCACTTTTTGCTTAGCTGTTCATTCTTTGTATCTCCTCTGGGCTTAGTGTAATGAGAATGAATCAGAAAAATACAGCTAAAACTCTGCTTGTTGGATAGATTTTATAGGTAATCAGAAGTGATCATTTGCAGGGGAACATGTGAGCACTTATTGCATAATGTGTATAATAAACTATGTATAGACAACAAACCCAGAAGCCACATTTTACATCCTGGAAAAGGGACATCTGTTCATAACATACTTTTTTTTTTTTTACAAGACTAACCCTTATTTTACTGGAAGTGAAATTCAGTGAGGGGGGAACAATCAGTGTAAATATATCATAGATCCTCTCTGTCTTCCTGAATCTCGCTCTAAAGGCCACACACACAGATGGAAAGTTATCACGTTACACCGCTGTACATTGTGAAAGTACCTTGCCTGTATATGCACAGCTCAAAACTTTGATTACTTTTCATTACTGCAGGGTCGATCATACCACTACTTACACGAGTAGAGGGTGGACATTTTTTTTACAAAAGTTCGTCGATTTAGAAAGTAAATAAATTAACCCACACAATGTGTCGTTTGATGTGACACGCAGATTAGATAAGAGACATAACATTGACAATTAACGTAAAACTAAAAGCTAAAGAGGTGTAAGCGACTTAGCGGACACCCCTCTCCCGTTGTCAAAAGTGGAATCGCCCATGTATGTTGTCACAGGCTCATTAGCGTGCAATCTTGGACAGTAGAGCACTGGGGTAATGTTGTAGTTTGCAGGAGCTGCTTGGAGCAGGACGTGAGGTGACCTGCTCGCTTTACTTCCTGCCTTGTTCTGCCTTGTCTGCTAAAAGAAAGAAAAGAAAAGAAAAAGTCAACATGGTCCAGGGAAACTAAACTAACTAGCAACCGGTGGTGTTGTTGGATATCCGAGGCGCTCACCGCAATGCACTGTGAGTTGTAGTTCTTGAGTCTTAATAATACGTTTTTGTGCAAGCTAACTTAGGAAGCTAGTTTATAAAGTGGCAAGTGTGATTCTCTCTTGCCCTTTGGAAGAATGTGACTTATTTTTTAGTGACGTTTAATAAAGTTGTCTTCTTTGTTTAAGCCAAACAGCTCCAATTAGTTAGCTTAGCAACTTTTCCTCATGGGTTACAGCCTTGGCTTTGTCCCTTCTGTCTTTTCTGGGGTATTACTTTACATAAAAGCTGCTTCATTCCTCTTTTGTCACTTCTTTTATGCTATTCCGATGGCTGACAAAGGCATACTTATGATGAAATGTAAGTATTAAAACAAGCTTAGAAACACAATCACTTTTAGTTACCAGATTATTATTTTTTTAATGTCAGAATCATCCATTGGTCGTCTACACTTGAGCCCAGAAAGTATGCTTGACCTGTTTGTCTTAAACTCAGCCAGATTAGTTGGGCAAAGTGAAAATACCTTCCTTGGATCAAAAGCATTTTATGTGAATTGGCTTGCTTTGAAGCACAAACACTCTGATCAGTGTTATTTTACCCATGCATGGCAGGATAGGTCAGTGCTGTTTTATACTTTGTTAACACAATTTGAATTGGTAATGAATGCATACCTTTTTATACCTGACACCACATTGTTTAGTGGCTGGTCGGTCATGTCATCCTCTGTTGTATTTTACAGTTTGTGCCGTTGCTGAGGAATGTTGTCCTTATCTGTATCTAGCTAACCTTCCCCTCAGGTATGAAGACATCAGGCTCCAGCAGATTCTGCAGTTTGTGCTCTGTGGCATCATAAACACAGCAGCTTGTTAAACCTGAACTCCTCTGTGTCCTCCAGCCATGAGTTTGGCTGCTTAAGATCACAAGTGGCTCGAACATGCATAAATTACAAGTTGACAAGGGGACGTTTTTTGTGAAAGATTTAACTTTTTTTTTTGCATGTATATTTCATTTTTCTCATCAGCTCCTTGTGGCCCTTCTGCTGAGTTCAAATCCTGTTTGCTCTGTAGTCTGCGTGTAACATTCTGTGAGCTCCCGTCACACCAGTTTCTTTGCCAAACTCATTTCCCTTTCATGAGGGATTTTTGGAAAAGGGGGTTTAAAGGACTGTTTGTGCTGGTTACTTGGGTAAGCTCAGTTTTCAGGGCTTTTCTTTTTTCCCCCCTCTGAAACTGAGAGGCTTCCACCTGGTGGGCTGGCAAAATCATCTGCAAAAAAAACAAAAAACTGTTGGGCAGCTTTAGCTGAAGTACAAAAGAGGCTTCCTATCAGAGTTTGCAGCTGATTCCTCTTTCCTTTTTAATATCAGATAGACTATTTTGACATTACAAGGCTTTCTCTGTTCCTGTGCATTGCAAAGCCAGTGTTATGATATTGTTTGTAGACTTATCTGAAGGGGAAAAAAAGTTGTTCCCTGGCTTTAACATGTCATTTCATGAGTGCTTATGGTCAGTGTTGGGGGATGGATGGATGAATTCCAGCATATAAAACTCGAGGGCTCTTTCCCCTCCATTCTTAA